TTGAAAAATGCCATTCAGAATGGCTAAAATAGCTGTGTGGGAAGAATGGAAATCTTCATCCCAATCAAGTAATTGGAGGTCTTCCAAAGAAATTCAGCACTGAACAAGTAGTCTTCTACTTACAACAGATCATTCAGTGACCACTCAAAGTTTCATTGGCACTGAAAAAAGTGACTGATGAAGGTTTTTCATGCGATCTTTGCAGCATCCCCATGATTATGTGATCAAAATTCAGGTGCTTGGCAATGGTTCATACTTAAGACCGTTGCTATGTCCCAAGGACAGGTGATCACTTTTTGCAACCTTCTAACAAGCAAAGTCAATGGGGAAGAGATTCACTGAACAACTGCAGCAAGAAAGGTCATAAAATGCGGCAAAACTCACTTAACAACAGAAATGTTGGGCTCAATTGTGGTTGTAAGTTGAGGACTACCTGTAGTTTAGAATTCAAGAAAAGAAGTATTTCATCATACAGTGCAATCCAGAGGCATGTGATGAGTGCAGAATCATGCAGATTTTTTGAGGCCTGATACAGAAATATTCCTTGTATGTTCTTACCGGTAGCATTGACTATCGCATCGAGCAATGGCTTCAAGGATGAAGGGGCACTGTGAGGCAGGAGATATGTAAAGAAAAACCTACAAAACAATGAAACGTGTTAGATTTGTAATAGTTTGGTAATTGCTGTTGAGGAACACCAATGAATAATAAAATTCCAGTAATGTGCATATTCAACTTGAAGAAAATCTATCCATAAGATCACTAGGGGTGGACAGCAATTTAGTGGCACACCATCAATCAATAATCACATCTCTGCGCTTTGCAAAAAGTAAAAACATATTCTGTACAGGTTGGTGACATTCAAGAGCAATTAGGACTGAAATTTCCATTGGTAAGGAATGCAGTTGTAAAGTGTGACCTAATGAATCCTGGCAGTCCCAATTGTCTTCATTAAGCAAATCTCATGATTTGGTAAGGTAACTTCCTCCAAAGATACAACTAAAATAAATGGAGAAGTGGGCAAGAACTTGCAAGTTCCAGGCATCTTTCTTTACTATTAATTTATTAACTTTTCTATTTTTCTTCAACTTTTTTTGCACGTTGAGCTTTTTTTTTCAAAGAAGTCTAATGGAACAGTATTCCTAACTGCTTGCCAATCTCTGAAATAAAATCTCCAGTGAAAAAGGCCTCACCATCCTTCTAAGTAATGCTTCCTCAAAGTTAAATATCAATATTCAACTGAAATTTATCACATTGTAACTTAAACCTAGTAGATCTGAATTCAGCCTTCTAGAGTAACAGAAAATGGTTTAATCAAGGAAAAAATCATAGTAACAATAATTGCATGTTTTAATTGTTAACGTTTTGTTTAGGGAGATAGCAAGCTCTTGTACAAATTGTTTTCTTTCCCCTGTATCTTTTTTTCTTCATCTCTATGATTTTGTTTAGCACTTTAAGAATTATTTTTATTATACTATTTTAATTAAAAGGGAAAAAAACATTTCCAGAGACAAGTCAAGTGTCTCCTTTCAAAAGCTTTTAAACACTTTTCATACCTCAAGTATGAAAAGAAATTAAAAAATGGTACAGGTAAGTCAACTTATGACTTACAACAATAAGCCCAGCCCAGAATTATGATCATAAATCATGCCAATCATTAAGTAGATTATCACATGACCAACCCAATTGTACAACATTTTTGTGGCAGTCATTAAGCAAACCCATTGTCTACAATAGCGCTTTTTTCTGGAAATTTGAAATAAACACTGATTTCCATTTTTTTTAAAAAAACATTGTAAATCATGTAATGTTGCAAATAACCATAGAAGTGGCCAACTGACGAGTGCCAAAAATGTGTTCACCTGACAACACCCAGCTGTCAGAATTTTGAATCTGGGGTTGTATCTTTTTGGGTATCCATTGAAACTTTGGCCATAAATGGAAGGATATATATATTTCACTGTTCTTTCAGCTTATAGACATGTGCATCTCCAGTACCAAGCTGGGTTCACAGATTAACCAGCACCTTGTCTGTTACTAGTCTTGAAATGCTAGCCTTGCCACACAAACAAGAGATGTATTCATCTAGTCTGCCCTCTCCACAGTGTAAGATCAACTTTGTGGGATCTAGTAACACAAATCCTTCACAGATGGCTGCCCAGCCTATTTTAGTCTCTGGAATATGACTGCTCATCAACTTCCAGGACAATAACTTGTAACATAAGGCTCCTCCTCCTAAATATCTATTTTCCGGTTTCAATATATAAACAATAATTTGATTTGTTAAATTATTGGTTTCTATTTAGATCCGTACCTGTATGCATTGTAAAGATTTCTCTTCTCATTCATGCTTTGGCATTTGCCGTCAACAGAACAAGGAAGAGTGAAATTTCTTGCTGGAAATTCCATGAAACAATCTCTGTTGCTAGTGCAGAAGGTTTCCTCATTGCTTGCATCATCCAGATCTGTCACTTTGAGCTCTCCATCCACAATCACAAATTGTCGAGGTCGGAAATCCAATAGAGTTACAGAGCCAAGAGGAGAATGGGCCAGGTAATGCAGAAGCTGAACTAAGCTGAAGCATATCTGAAATCAGAAAAGTCAAGTTGTCACACATGGCTTTTGTAATAGAACAATCCTAATAATATCTGTTAGAGACCATGGAAAATGACAATAAGCCTTCAGCTTTCTTCATTATTAGAAACAGATTCAACAACTATGAGTGCCAAGTGTGCACATGGAAAGTTTGCTCAATATTTTTTATTGGTCCTTGGCATACAAATTTGGCTCTCTCTGATGTCCTGAGTGGAAAATGAAGCTAATATCACACATGCTACAAATTTCTTATAAACTGATTTCACCAGTGGTGGGATTCAATTTTTTTTTACTACTGATTCTGTGGGTGTGGTGTGGCTTGGTGGGCATGACAGGGGAAGGATACTATGAAATCTCCATTCCCACCCCACTCCTGGGGGAAGGTTACTGCAAAATCCCATTCGCTCCCGACATCTGGGGGAAGGATACTGTAAAATCCCCATTCCCTCCCCACCCACTAACCTGCTTCCCAGCTCCGTTCTCCTGTGCAGGGCAACCAAAGAAGACCCAGCCGATCTTCTGGGACTCGGGAGGCAGAGAATAGATGGGGGTTGGGCCAGTCAGAGGTGATATTTGCCGGTTCTCCAAACTACTCAAAATTTCTGCTACCAGTTCTCCAGAACTGTTTAGAACCTGCTGAATACCATCTCTGGATTTCATGCAATGTGATCTTGCAAGCATGATCTCGCAAGATACATTTCAAAGTCCACCTCCAGATTGCCTCTGGATGGCTCTGGCACATGGTGCAGCCACACAATTCCATTACAAAAGAGTCTATTTGGGAAATAATATGGCACAGAAATGCCATGGAATGAACTGGTTTCTACATTGCTCTCATTAAAAATATTTGTCAGTTGCAAACTGTTCTGCTGCAATATTAAAGTTCTAGAAAAGCCACACTTTAAAATGTACCCCATTTTACTGATAGTCCTTGACTTATGACTACAACTAAGCTCAAAATTTCTTTTGCTAAACGAGAGAATTGTTAAGTAAGTTTTGCCCCATTTTACAGCCACACTTGCCACATTTGTTAAGTGAATCGCTGCAGTTGTTAAGTTAGTAACACGGTTGTTGAATCTGGCTTCCCCATTGACTTTGCTTGTCAGAAGGTCACAAAAGGGGATGACATGACACCAGGACTGTCATAAATATAAGCCAGTTGTCAAATGTCTGAATTTTGATCATGTGGTTCTGGGGATGTTGCAACCATCGTAAGCATGAAAATGGTCATAAGTCACTTTTTAAAGTGCCATTGTAACTTTGAACAGTCACTAAATGAACTCTTGTAAGTTGAGGACTACCTATATATTCAATGAGGCCCAATGCCAGCATATGGCACTTGAAAAAGCTTTTGAAGTCTTGGTCAGTAATAGAATGATGATATCATCATGCAAATGCCATAGTTATGCAGATATGTAACTTGTAAATTATTTGCAAGACGTTATCACACATCATCATTTTCCTCTTTCTCCCACTGCAAATGCTCATGGTGTCAGTACCCTGGCATAGTCTACAAGCTCTGTCACTTCCCACTTACCTCACACTGACTTGGAATTAGTACAGTGGTGCCTTGGTACTCAACTGCTTGGGAACTCATCAAATTTGGTACTCAACACATTTTGATGTGAAAATTTTATCCCAGTAGTCATCGTTAGTTTGCTACTCAACACAAAAGCTAGAACTTGTTGGTATTGGCTGCCTTGCGATTCACTTCATTATTCCTTATGGGAAAAACCTGTTTTTGGTTTTTGGTACTCATCATGCCTCCCAGAACCAATTAAAGATGAGTATCAAGATACTATTATAATGATATTTCCCCCAGGGATCCCCTCTTCATTTTTGGTTTTGTATCAATCTGTCCTAATAGTTTTTAGTGGATTCAACTCCAGAATTCCCAACCAAAATGGTATTTTATGCTGATAGCTCCAATCCTATTACAGCTGAAAAGTGCCAGGTAGCAGAATGGTTCTCTTTACATAATGAAACAAACAAAACGTTAAAATACTTATACTCATTTTGTGCATATTAAAACTGTGCCATTAGAACTTTGTAATTGTACTTACGTGAAACCTGTCCTCCCATGAAGTCTGCAAAAGCTGTATCATCTCCAGTGGTGAACCTAGTTCTGTGATGGCAGTCAAGGTGTCTGAGATGTCATTGCTATCTTGGTAACAATATCCATGAAGCTGCAAAGGAAAACATAGAAAATGTGACTTATAAACCCATTTATTGGATGGAGTTTTCCCTCATCCCATCATCTTCTACCTCCCGCAGTGATACAGTTGAAAACCTGGACAAAAACCTTACTGTGTAGAGAAAATTGGCATATTTAGAACAGGAGAGAGGTTAGCCTATAAAACAAAATGCTTTTATGCAGGAGAACATTCACCAAGATAGGTAAGCAGGTAATAAAAAGTAAAGGTTCCCTCGAGTTGAATTCAACTCCTGCTAACTATATGGTCATGTCCCCGGATTTTTCTTGGCAGAGGCACAGAAGTGGTTTACCTCTGCTTTTTTGCAGGTTCCCCCACACGCAGAGAGAGAGAGAGAGATACATACAGTTTTACAGACAAGCCTACAATTCTGCTATTTCTAATTTCATCATTTCTGATGCAGCTCCTTTTCTCTCTGTTTAGAAAAATCTGTAAAAACACCTCTATTTTGCCAGGTTTTAGTATCAAGTTAAAGTAAGCTTTAAGTTTTTATAGTCTATCTTTTTTGCTTTGTTAGCTGCCCTGGGAATCAACTGAAATTTTGCAAAACATAGAACTACCAGAGCCATAGAATTCCTGTATAGGAGTCTCCTTAGGTTGGAAATTATCAATGAAGGAATACAGCAACTACATTTGCAAAAATTATCGGCTAATACAGGAACCTTGCTCAAATTAAGACTCTATTATGGGAATATACTGTACTTTTCTTAATTGTGCTTTCATCACTACCGCTCTACACATTTTTAAGGTATCAAATGCTAATTTTGTAAAAGGCATACCATTTAGTTTATCCAAAGAAAACTTCCCTAATCCAAAATTGGACTATTTTGAGATTTTTAATACAAGAGCCAAGACATCCAAGACTTCTCTTGCCCATTCTCACTCCAGATGGGTTTTCCATTATGTCCTTGTTAATATGAACAGTTCTGAATCGTTGCACAAGATCTGAGCAGGAGAAACTGGGAAAGAATATATGGCTGTCTTATTTCCTATGGCTGAGGAGATATAAATGTTGATAAAATGTTCACTAGCTTCAGTGTTAGAACTCAGTAATGTCAATAATCTATTATTTTTCAAAAGATATAAGTGTTTCAAAAAAAACATACTTTAAGAAAAATTTATTTCAGGAATTCCTATGAAATAATGTTCTGATTTAAATGCCTTTTTTGTAGCTTAATAATTACAATTTTTAACAATTAGATATTGGACACATGGAATGTAATTAAACAAACTAAAAGTCTGCAATACTGGTAGTCCTTGATTTGTTTAGCAACTGTTTGAAATTACAATGGCACTGAAAAAAAAAGTGACTAACAACCAGTCCTTACACTTAGAACTGTCACAGCCTACCCACAATCACGTGATGAAATTTAGGGTGCTTAGCAATTGGCATGTATTTACAATAGTTGCCATATCCCAGGGTCATGTGATCAACATTTACAACCTTCCCGGCTGGCTTCTGACAAGCAAAATCAATGGAGGAAGTCAGATTTGCTTACTGGCCATATAGTTCATTAACAGCTGCAGCAATTTGCTCAAAAACCATGGTGAAAAAGATTGCAAAATCAGGTGCAACTCACTTAACAACTTCCTTGTCTATCAATGGAAATTCTGATACCAATTGTGGTCATACATCAAGGACTACCTGTAGATCAGGAGTGTCAAAGTCAAGGCCAATGGGCCACATTCGGTCCATGGGTGCTTAGGTCTGGCTCACCGGGCTGCCCTGGAACAGCAAAGGACCAACCTGCGTTATCTCAATATCAATCTCAATATCAACCTGCCAGTGAAAACAGTCTAGGAAGGACCGCATGTGGCCCTCCCAAGCTCCATTTTTACTGGCAGAGGGCTGCAGGAGGCAGTCACAGCCAAAAATGGAGCCAAAAACAATCTGTGTTTTCTCTGGCAGATGGCTACAGGAGGCCGGGAGGGCCAGCAAAGTGCCAGCAAAACAAACTACTAACGAAAGTGGCATTTGATCACACAAGTGACATTGAGCTGGCCATGCCCACTCTGGCCACACCCACCTCAGCCCCCCAAGGTCAAACATAATCCTGATGCGGCCCTCAATGAAATCAAGTTTGACACCCTTGCTGTAGATAATTTGGCATGAAACATGTATCTTCAGAAGTTCTATATAGTTTGATTTCTGAAACAGAGAACTGAGAAATATCATGTGGTTATTCAGCTAAAGAGCAGAAATAAGATAGAAATTGATGGGGATGTCAAGTAATTAGAAAATATAAGAAGTGCAAATTCTATTGAGGATTGTGTTGTCATCTGTCTGTAATTATTACTGTTGCAGGAAAAGCCAAGACAAAGAACAAATGAGTATAAGACTGCAAGAATTTCCAAGCTGTTACAACTGCAAATACTATGATTTTAATAGGAATCTGAAAGATGTGCAGTAGAAGTTTGACAAAATCCAACATCAGAATTGTTCCTTAAGATGCAGAACTTTGACAGAGCCATGCACATCGTTTAGACATTTAGAAGGAACCGGAATTCAGAGTCACATTCCAAAAATTGGCCCTGCCAGCAGAATCCACATTTGAATTTAATTGAGATTACATTGATTAAATGCTATTAATATGATTAGTCTCCATGGATTGAATAGTGTTCCTCCTTTGTAACATCAAAAATATATAATTCAGCTACCAGTTTTAATAAATGAGAAACTGTCCTACTGCAATATTCCTAAAGCTTAAAAAAACTTTGAATGTATTTGGGTTTCAGTTGCTACTTATCATTAGGGAGAAGTTCCACTTTGTAAAGAAAATGCAGCAGCATGATTAAATTCTTAAATCATATCACATTGGGTTTCATGTCACCTTGAAGCCTATCTAGAAACTACTGAGGCAATGATGCTATGTCCAACTTTAATTGCTTTAGGAAAAATCATCTTCATTTAAGCGTGCTGAAATTCACACATCGGACATGAACTAATTTTAACAAAGATCAGATATCAAATTATTGACTTGTTAACTGAGACTTCTCAGAAAACAACTGAATGAAAAACTGATGGTGACCTTCTACTGCTGCACCATAGAAAGCATTTTAACATACTGCACCTCTGTATGGTTTGCCAATTGCACAGTGGCGGATAGGAAAGCACTCCAGAGGGTTAATGTCAATTGCCCAGAAATCATTGGTTGCCCTCTCCCCTCTTTGGAAGAGATTTATAGCTCCCGCTGCCTTAAGAAAGTTCAAAACATTCTCAAAGATCCATCTCTCATCCTGGGAAACCCCCCCCCCTTTTTTTTGAACTATTACCATCTGGCAGACGGTACAGAATAATAAAAACAAGGACAAATAGGCTGAAAAACAGCTTCTATCCCAGAGCAGTAGCTCTTTTGAATTCTGCTGTATAGTGCAGTGTTGGTGTGGTGTTGGGGGTTTCCGGTTCAATGTGTGGAGTGTGAAGGATGTATGTTTGTGTTTATTTTCATGGTCATGATGGGCACTGAAAATGGTGTTTGATTTCATTGTACGAGGTGCAATGACAATAAAGTAAACTGAACTAAACTAAATTAAGGAAGAAACATAAAGTTGAGAAAGTAAGGGAAATTATTTCAGCAATGTAATTTGAGAAGTGATTATGTACAACTCCAATTATATTGATCACCTCACTATTAGGTTGTGTATAATTTAGCATAGAAGCTATTTGAGCAAACAAAGAGGAAAGGGGGAGCTCACCATCTGAAAATGCATGATAAATGCATGATCTCTATTATGTGCACCCTGTGAAATGAAAGTAGAGTCCAGAAAAGCAGAGCATAGATGATGTGTGTGCAATAACATTATTTATCACACATTGCAATTTTCACTGGTTAAAGTTTCCTCCAAAGAATTCCTTGTAATGGTTAGTGTAGAATTCAGAGTTAGATCTCCTTAGCTCTCCTCACCAAACTATACCTTCCCTTTGTTCTCAAGTGAAATTTGGACTAACTACTAAATCAGTTTAAGTCTGCTTTTTAGATAGACATGTTCTCTACATCTTAAGACATTTCCCCACATAAAACCGCCTTCCATTGTAAATGTCAGTAGCTTGGTGGATGTCAGTAGCTTGGAAACAGTACCGAAATTAGTAGCAATTGATTCCATAACAGGCCTTTCCGGGGAGTTTTCCTAAGGAAAATAGATGAGGTTGCAAATCATCAACTCCTATTAAAGAAGCAGCAACTGAGAACAGAGCCTTTAGGGGTGATTTATATGATACATATGTCGGAATAGACATATTAGCCTGGATTATTTCTCATGAAGGATAGTTCTCAAAGTGAGCAAGGATGGTGGAGGGTTTTTTTTGGCCAACATCATGTACCTTTTATCTTAGGTAAAAGGATTCCCCTCCTTATCACACCTTACACTAATCAACCCCCCCCCAACACACACACACACACACACTCCATAGTTTCTAGCATCTAGAGAGCTACAGCCACTTCAGAGAAGAGACACACAACTCATCTAATAATGACAATTATGATTTAATAATGACAAACGGGCGTGTGAGGCAGCGGTCCCCATGGCCAGCCCCACAACAGGAAGATGGCGGGGGGGAGCCTCAGTTGAAGCAAAAGCAACACAGGTTTCCAAAAAAAAATAAAAAAAAATAAAACAAGGATAGTTAAGGTTCGTTTACAGTTGTATCAGCTCTGGCTTCTAGCAGCAGCAGAATTCCTGCTAACAGATCTTTTCTTCACTCTTAAAAGCTCGGGATAACATCTGGGCCTTTGGGAAACGTCCTTGTAATAAAGAAGCACTTTATATAATTTATCTTTCTTCACCAAGCTGCATCTGTCTGCTCTTTTGGCTGGCTCCTGTCTCTCACCCCCACCTCAAATCCCATGGGTTTCACAAGAAAAGGAACATATGGCCACCTCCAATGAATCACCAGAAGGTGGCACTGCTTTGACCTCTCTAACTTCCACCAAACACCACTTTGGATCTATGCATCTCCTTAAATAATTTGTATG